CACAGAGACGCACGCACGCAGTGGCACACTCACAGAGATTTATAATGTGGCTAAACGGGCTGTTAACTAAAACAGCATCCGCTCTCTCTTAATCGCAGTTCAATCAAAGAGCACCAGAGCCGAAGCTTGAGGGCAGCTTTTCACCGCGCTCATGTGACTGCCGCCAGCAGCTGAAGAGAGCGTGCCGCGACGGATGCTGCGAAAGCTTTTTGTGATTCTGCTGATTACGTAAATAAAAGCGAAGCGAACGACAATTTACGAAATGTGGCGAAACTGTTATAAACAATTTGAGCAGCGGCCAACAGCCAACAGCCAAGAGCCAAGAGCAGCCGAGCCAGCGTCGACCCGCTTTCTTCTGTATATAAGCTTTAGCTGATACACATACGAAATGGGGCGAGGAGTAGCAGCAGCAGCAGCAGCAGCAGCAGCAGCCGCCGCACAGCAACAACAAACCATCTGACGAAAGCTAACGAGGCCTGCCTGACAGAGAGCCAAAGCGAGAGCCGAGAGTGATGCTTGCAAATGCAAGGCGAATTATCGCTCGGCTTTCGCCGCGCTGCGTTCGGGTTTTGGCCGTCGGCTCTGTGGGCAGCGTCAGCGTCGCTTAGTTGCTGCCTGCGCTGCGTGGTGAAAATCAGTCACAACGGGAACGTCGTCGCGAGCTGTTTGCGCGCTTCATGCACTTGTGTTTTTGTAGCGAGAGCCGAAACACAGAAAGCAAGCAAATCTAGAGCCTGGTTCCAAAATGAAGCCAACACTCGAATAACGAAAATAAAGCGTAGGAAAATTACAGAAACCAAACAATCGACAAGTCGACTAAAATGAAATCAAATAAACCATAATCAAACGAGTGCATTGAAACCATGTCTCGGTGCGACTTGGTCGGCCATCAAGTGCGAAAAGTGCGTCAGCAGCAGCCGCAGCAGCAGCAGCAGCAGCAGCCATAGCCATAGCCATAGCTACAGCTATAGCTACAGCTATTGCCGCAGCGGGTGGCGGGCGGCAAAGAAATCAAATTACAAAACAGCAACACACAGACACACACTGACACACACAGAGACACAGAGATATGTATGTGCGAGCCACTAACACAGTAAAGGAGACAGACGGTCGGACGGATGGACGGACAGACGGTAAGGCAGACACAGAGACAGATAGACAGACACACGCAGCGCTCCGAAATCGACGCAGGCTATATAATTTAGCACACAAGTTAAACGCAAAAAGCAAAAATAAGATGAGCAGAAAAAAAGTCAAATAAAATAAAGTAAAATAAAATAAAGGCAAAGAAATGAAGTAAAATCGGAACAAAAACGCAGCCGCCCAAAAGTGCGCGTATGTGTGAGAGCTGTGTATGTGTATGTGTGTGTTGTCTGCTTGCGAGCGAAAATCAAATGAGAAATGTTTCGGCCAATCGCCATTAAAACCATATTAACAAGTGCAAAGTTTTACTCCAATATATACAAAAAAGAAACCTACAAAAATAATAAATGAAAATAAAAAATATATGCATATAAAGAGAAAGAAACAAGTTAAGCTCAAAAAGTGTTGCAAAATGCCACACAGCTGTGTGGCTGTGCGGGGCACTGGCAAAAATAAAAGAAAAACACGCAAATACCAACGCACTTAACACACATACCAACAACAACAACAACAAAGGCAACAACACAGACATTTAACAGCGGCCAAAGGCAGCGCAAGAAAGAAAGAAACAAAATATAAAAACAACAGAAAAAATAACAAAAAAAAAAAAAAAGAAAAAGCAAAAGCAAAATATGGGAGGCTTGAGTTTTGAGTCTAGGCTGCGTTCCGCTGAATTCGTACGTTGTTGTTGTTGTTACTGTTGTTGCTTCTGTGGCAGGCAGCTGTTATTGTTGCTGTTGCTGTTGCTGCTGCTGCTGCTGTTGCTGTTCGCCTATATTTTTAGCACGCGCAGCGAAAATTTAAATCGCCAACGCACAAAAAGTTTTCTGCTTGCCCTGGCTGGCTAATAAAATACATATCAACAAGCAAATGGGCGCAGAAACAACAGCAACAACAACAGCAGCAACAACAACAATCGTTGTGGCATATTGAAAAGGCAGCGCCTGGTGTTGCAGTTGTTGATGCCAGTAACGACAGCAACAGCAGCTGCAAGGATAACCAGCCAGCAACGTCATACATGTGCAAGGATATTATCAACGTCATGCCTGCCAAAGCACACACACACACACACACACACACACGTAGTAAGGAAGACAAAGCGAGAGCAGGAGCTGGCTTAAAGGCAGTGAGAGCGAGAGCTGGCAACATTTAGTGTGGCATATTTGTGCTGCTTGACAGTTGTTTTTACTAACATTAAACACATTTATATTTATGACTGCACGTCACGTGGGTGTCCATGTGTGTGTCTGTGTGTGTGTGTGTGTGTGGGTGCTTGTACTCTGACATTAAATGCATTAAAAACATGTTGATAAATTCATTAGAATTTATTTAACTAAAAATAAATGCACAGCAACAACAAGACAAACACACGCACACACACACACCCATACACACACACACGCACATGCTGGCCAGGCATAGTTACTCGATTGCTGCTGCTCCTGCTGCTGCTCTCATTAGTGCCTGTGGCTGCCCATCGAATTATGCGGAAATCTAATTTATTTGTCCCAGCAGCTAGTCAGTCCGTTGATTTCAAATTGCTGGCCAACAACAACAACAACAACAACAACAGCAGCAGCAACAAGAAAAACAACATGTTCTAGGAAATCTACTTTATGGCCGTAGAACTTTAACAAGATGGCGAAGCCATAGCTACTTTTAGGATTTCTCCCGTAAAATTGTATTTAATATGCTTCTGAGAATATCTTTGGCAGCAGCAACAGCAACAAGAACAACAACAACAACAACAACGTTGCTCTGTCCAAAACTCTTCCAGCGAAATTCCTTTTAATAAATGTTGCATACTTATCAGCGCGTGAAATAATACAGCTAAAAGGCTCGCATTGTGCGCTTCTCATGCTTTGTGCTAGACAACTCATGTATAATTTACAAGCTATAGCTAAGAATTTAATATTTATACCTCCGATACAGAAATGATTTATTATATATAGTTCGTATGCCGCTAAAACTTTATGGAATCTCTTAAGAATATCTCTTTAATGGCAATGTATACAATATTTATAGAAGTTTTTTAGAGTAAACACCCAGACTCTTGCGGCCTAATCAAGCATCTTTACGGAGCTACTTATCGCCATGGCAGCTGCATAATTTAGTTATTCAATTTTAAAAACCCTCTTAGCTCTCGCTTATTGCCAAATATACGCCAGGTAAACTGCCAAAACTTTTGTGTTTCTAAAACAATCCAAATAATTTATTACAGTTTCCTAGATACAAACACAGACACAAAGACAAACACGCACACACAAAAGCACTCTCCGATACAGTCATATAAAAATGTCATTTAAGGCTTGGGAAGAACTAAAAGTTTTGCGCGCAGAAATTAACTTTATTGTGCGAATCAAGATAAAATTGCTAAACAAATGCGCTCGAGCACCTTTTCAATTTCAGCATGGGACGAACCCAAGCCAAGCCATGCCAAGCCAAGTCAAGAGTTGCCAACTAGTTGAGCCTTGCCACACTCCCTCTCACTCACACTCGCTCGCTCTCACTCCCACTCACACGTGTGGCGCGGGATCTTAACTAAACACATGGCAACTTAAACTTATCGACAAGTCGCATCTTATGGCTACAAGCTGGCCAAAAGTTTAACACGTGCGTGTGTGTGAGTGAGTGTGCGTGTATATACATACATATATAGAAACTAAGACGCACTAATTCACGACTCGCAACTCTCAGCATCTTCTTGTTGTTCGCTTGTTGTTTTTCCAGTGCAACTTCTCCATTCGAAAAAGTAGGCTATAAAAACTATCAACACAGCTCGAGGCGCTGTGGCTCGTTGCTCAAGATTTTCAGTGTAGCTAGCTGATGCAATAGTAACAACAAACTGGCATAACATAAAAATAGGAAAAGTTATTTTTTCAAGTTTTACTCCTCAAGAAACAGCAGCAACAACAATAATAACAAAAAAACATACTGGATCATATAATCCTTTCACTTAACAAGCAAACTTTTGGCAACAGACCGAAAAACTTTGCGCATTTCTACTGCTGCTGCTGCTGCTGCTGCTGCTGCTGCTCCAGCTCCTGCTGTTGCTCCCATCTCCTGCTTCAGCTGCTTTTTCAACTGCTATGTTGTGCTTTGCATAAACACAAGTCAAGAGTTGTGCGAGGGCGCTCGGGGTGGACGTGGCAGGATGTGACTTGCTGCCTCACACATACATGACGCAGGGAAAATTTATGCATTCGCCAGCCAGGCCAGAAAAGTATTTATGTATGCGCTTATAAATATATGCACATCTTGCTCTACCAGCAGCCTCTCCCTCTCCCTCTCTCTCTCTCTCTCTCTCTCTCACTCTAACCCCTCTCGCTCTGTCGACGTGCGTGTGTGCAGATAGCCAGCAAATTTATGCTAGCAATATAACAAACAAAATATTTGCGCACCAAGAAGAGTTGTGCAAAAGTTTTTTTTCTCTAGCCGCGCCCCTTTTGCCCTAGTGCCGCAAAACTTTAAAATAACACAAAAGCAAAATATGAAAAAATAAATAATGAAACTGAAATAAAATTTATTCTATTTACTTTTTTTTTCATATTTTGTTTTTGGGGCAGCTGCAAGTTGAAATTTAAAAACTTGCAAAACATGCAACACGAGATTCCTTCATTTTTTTGTGTTTTTGCTCTAGAGCGGACGACTTTTTATATGCTAATTAAAGGCAGCAGACACAGATGCAAACACACACATACACACAGACACATACAGAGAGACAGACTGAGCTTAGGTTTTTTTTATGTGTGTCCTTGTTCCTAAAAAATACACATATATATATGTATATGTATGATATATATTCATATATATATTTAAATGTATATATGTATGTGTGTGTGCACCGAAATGCACACAAAAGCCTAACCCTGAAATGTGCAGCTGAAAAGCTGAAGACGCAAAGCTTGAAGGCTGCCGCTCAGCAGAAAAGTAAGCAACACAAAATATCCAAATAAACCTGCGCTGAAAAGTAGGCAACACAAAATGTGGGCGAGCATTTAAATGGCTAAATGCCAATAATGAACAGCAAAACAACAACAAAACATACACATAAATAAATCTAACAAAATTAACGAAATCTACAAACTAGAAAATAAAACAACAACAGCAACAAAAACAACAACAACAGCGGCAACAGAGCAGAGCTATTTAAAGCCCAAGCATAATTAAATTAATTGTAAATAAATGCCAAAAGTATATATATGCAAAAAAAAACAAACAAACGAAACTAAATACCCATGCAACAACGCACAGATAAACAGTTTATCAAACAAATAAAACAGCAACAGCAACAACAACAACAACAAATATAAATACCAACAACGATTGTGTTCAGTACTCGTATAATTTAGCGAATTTTTCGTGGTGCCATTCAGCGTTTCGCAACAAGTAAAATTAATTAATTATAGATAAATGTGTGAGACACTCGCACACACACACACGCACATATATGTATATATACATAAATAAATTAATAGCCGAAAAAAATAAAACGACTGTTTAATAAATGACTGCATTAAATAAATGAGCTTTTAGTTTAATTAATCACTAAATAAATAACAGTAAATACACGCGCATACATGTGCAGCCCGTGTGTGTGTGCGCGCCCCTTTCTGTGTGTGTGTGTATGCTTGCTGTAGCTGTGAAGCCATATGCATGGCAGCAACAACAGCAACAGCAGCAACAACAACAACAACTACAACAAAATCAACCAAAATACATCGAGCAACAACAAACGCACTTTTAACAATAACAACAACGACAACAACAAGGACGCTTCAGAGCAACTGCTACTTAGCCACGCCCCATTTACCATATAGCCATAGCTGCCGACGCTGTTGCTGTTGTTGTTGTGGTTGCCGCCGTTGCTGTAATTCATTCTGGCCGCCCCAATACAACAACTCCAACAACAACAAAGAAAACAACAACAACATCAAACGAGCCACGACTCGCGCCAGCCAAACGAACCGAATAACAACAACAACAGCAACAGCGCATCGCACGAAGTCGCCGCCAGCAGCGGTGGCCTCGTTGTCGCCACCACCACCACCACCACCACCACTACCACCACTAGCAGCACCAGCAACAACAGCAGCAACAACGTTGCCAACGACGGCATCGGCGGCGGAGGCGGAGGCGGCGGCGGCGGCAGCAGCAATAGCACCAACAGCAGCGTTGCCCCAGATCCCAAGAAATCCTTCTCGCTACACTGCTGTTGCGTGATCGTCGACATTACACCCGTCTCACATCCGGTGGCACGTTTGACATCAGCAACAACGGCCTCGGGAAGGGATGCGGGCGCCGGCAGCGGCGGCAGCAGCGGCAGCGGCCTGGGCCTCGGTGAGAATGTCTCGCAGCTGGCGAGCCAACTGTTTCGCTTTGGCAGCAAGAAACGCACCGGCGTCTGCATCTGCAATGCCCAATGCCGCCTGCAGTCGCTCGGCGAGGGCGCAACGCTCAAGACAACGCATCACGGCTCCCTGGATCGCCTGCTCCAACAGCAGCAGCAGCAGCAGCACCTAGAGCACCAACAGCAGCAGCCGCTGCCACCGAGGCCCCAACAGCAGACGAGCGGCGATCGCTCCATAAGTTGGGTCGTCGATGGCGGCGGCGGCGGTGCCGGAGCCCTGCTGACTGCGGCCAGTTCCGATGACAGCGATGAGAAGCAGCAGAAGCAGAAGCCGCTGGAGGATGCACCGCCACGCCCACCGGCCCGCCATGGCTCCAGCAGCAAGCACAGCGTGCGCGAGGAATTCGAACGCGGCGTCGAGGTGGAGAAGTTCTATCATCAGATCAACGGCGACATCTTCGAGATCACGCGACGTGTGCGCGCCCGGGATGAGGATACGCTGGAGCAGCGCTGCATACGGCGCAAGGGTTCGGTGCGGCTCACCGAGCCGCACTATGTGCGCCTGCCCGAGCAGAAGCCGCAGCTGCCGCCGCGGCGCCAGAAGAGCGCCGAGGAGGTGACCATGCCGAAGAGCGCGTTGCGCCAGGCGGCGCCGGAGCCACAGTTGGAGTGGTTCGACCGGAAGGCGCAGCAGCGTCACTCCGCACGCTCCGCCGAGGGCGGGCAGGTGCGCGAGGAGACCATGGAATGGCTGAAGCTGCAGAAGAGCAGCGCGGCACAGCAGGCGCCCGCGCGCACCTCCTCCGGACCCAGCGAGATCACCGTGCTCAAGGATGAGCTGCCCGACTGGCTGCTGGAGCACCTGCCGCGGCAGCGCGAGCGCCAGTCCACATCAGAGAAGCCCGTCAGCTCGGCCTATGCGAAGGCCCTGGCGGAGCTGCTCAAGAAGCCGCTCTCGCGCCAGAGCTCCGGTCCCTGCGAAGTATCGCTGCTGAAGACGGACATTGTCGAGTGGCTGACCAAGATGCAGTCCAGCGTGGGCGGCAAATCGTCGCGTCGCTCGCACCATCGCCGCAACGGCAGCAGCGGCGCAACGCCGCGCTCCAACTCTCAGGAGGATCAGGCCACGGAGCATGCGACGCTGCAGCGCAAACGCCACTCGCTGGGCCACAGCGACGAGGAGCAGCTGCAGCAGCACCACCGCCAGCAACAGCAGCTGCCCACGCTCGACTGGATCGCGTATCCGCTGCACAAGCTGCAGTCGCTGGGCAAGCAGCCGCCGTCGGGGCAGCCGGTGCCCACGGCGGCGACGACGGTACCCAGTGGGTACGATGTTCCCGTCGCCTCCACCCACACGCAGCTGTGTCAGGAGCAGCGACGGCGCGAGGAGCGCTCCCGGGAGCGACGGCTGCGCCACTCGGCCAGCGAGGTGGTGAGCAGCGGCGCGCCGTCGGCCAGCACAAGCGCGCAGCTGGAGCGCCTGGAGCGTCTGTATGCCAAGCCGCACAAGGAGCGCTATCAGTATGTGCCCAAGGTAACGCAACCGCCCAAGGAAACCACCAGCAGCACCGCCCCGATCAGCTCCGGAAAGTCCAAGCGCGAGCGTTCGCGTCGCCATCAGACCCAGCGCTCCGCCACCGTGACAGACATGTCCGCCCAGCGCTCGAGCGGCAGCGGCGCAGGAGGCGGCGGCGGTGGCGGAGGAGCTGCCAGTAGAGGCGGCGGTGGTCACAAGCGCAAATCCTCGAGTGCGGAGCGTGCGCCACGCTCCCGTTCGCCATCGCCCTGCACAGATCCCGCCTGCCCGCTGCTGCCCATCTGCACAGATCCGCACTGCCGCTACCAGGAATGCCAGCGTCGACGCTGCCTGACCTCGTCGGCCAGCTCGGTTAACCTGGCGCGGCACCAGCAGCTGGCCCAGGTGCAGCTGCATGCGGTGCCCGCCCATCTGGCGGGCGGCTCGGATGCCACAACGCCCTCAACGACGGCGACACCGCCGCCACCACCGCCGCCGACAGCTGCTGCGGCGCCCGTACCGGAGCGCCGACTGGTTATCTGCCACGAGTGCCGGTCCTGCGCGCCGCTGCTCAGCTGCCAGAATCGCAAATGCCTCAATGCCGCCAAGTGCAACTCACTGCCTCGCTGTGCCGCCGACTTCAATCGGTTGCGCACCTCGCTCGCCCAGCCGCCGGCGACGCTGGACGACATTGAGCCGGCGCCACTGGACCTGGACCAGCAGCAGCCGCTGCCGCCTGCCTCGCCCACACGCCACATGCAGCACTACCGCAGCAACTCGCAGCCGAACACGCTGCAGCGCGGCGACTCGACGGCCTCCAGCTGCGGCCTGGCCGCCAATCTGGGCTGGCTGGAGCCCGTGCCGCTGCAGTCCTCCAACGGGCATCTTCATCACGTCCTCAACGGCAACGGCAAGCTAATGAAGTCCGCCTCGGCCGCGTCCCTCAACTCGCGCCGCCGCCGCCACAAGACCGTGCACTTTGGCGAGAATCTGCTGCGCGAGGTGTGCCAGAACCGGAAGCTCATCAAGAAGGAGCAGGTGCCGTCGGGCTCGGCGCCCATGCAGGCCAACATTCAGATGCTCTACAACTTCGTGGAGGGCGTGCTCAGCGCCTGGGTGGACGACGACGAGGATCAGGTGCGCTCGGGCGCCGAATCGGAGCCGGAGCACGGCCTGGTCGCCCTCCAGCCCATACATCGCTGCAACCGGCTGCGCTATCAGTGCATCCGGCGTGTCGTCGAGGAGGCGGCCGATCTGCAGGGCACCCTCAAGCTGGGCAACTCACGGTACCGCCATCGCCACTGGCGCAGCACCGCCAAGCAGTGCAACGAAATGTTCCTTCGCAAGGTAAACGAAAAACACAGCAATTTGAAAAATTGGTGCATTGAGGGTATTCCCTTAACTGAAAAGTTTGCAAATATCACATATTTTCATATGCCAAATAAGCTAATAAATATAACCTAACTAAAAAGCTTTTTCAACAGCCATCAGAAAATATTTATTAGAGGTATTCCCTAAAATGACAATTCTAAAAATATATACATGTGCACATATATTGAACATTACAATTTAATTAAAAAACTCATACTACAATTATTATAATAAGTGTATTAGAGGTATTCCCTTGATATATTTAAATATATTTTATATTATAATTTTATGTATCATGGGTACTCTGAAAACTTTTAATATATATCAAAATGCTTATTAGCCTATTATTATAATAAGTGTATCAGTGGTATTCCTTTAACTGAAAAATTAAAAAATATATTGAGACTGTTAATGAAAAATTGCAGTATTAAATATATATTTAATACCTAGACTAAACACTTTTTCAAATGGAGTATTTATTGAATCGGCTTACCGAATCTTATCTATGATTAGCCCTAACAACTTCTCACATAATAACTGATTTGTTACTCAGAAATATGTAGGTCAGTCCTGCATATGCCTTTAAATGTTCGCTTTAAGGCTGGAATATCCTTAATAATCTCAGCTCTTTTGTATTTAGTGCTCACACAGACGCACACACAAAAGCTAAATAGATTAGTTACTTCTTTGGCATTTGAAAATGTTGAATGAGATTTGCGAGGAGCTGCTTTAACTTTGAGCTTTGCTTGAATATCCTGTATTGTGGAGGTCCTCTCTCTGCAGCTAGACTCTTTGTTGCTGCCATCAAATGACTTAAATGTAT